TAGGAGCAACAGCTCAAGCACAAAGTGTTAATGTGAAGTGGAGAATTATTTGCAAAAAAAACATCCATGATCGGGATTCATTCTGCAAATCCTAAACTAGTGTTTTACTAAACTGGGCTGCAACTTTAAAAACACAAAGAATGTCTTTGCTCGTGAGAGTGCAGTCACATGAGAATCTGCTGCTAAGCCAGAAACTGTTTCAACGGGAAGTCACGAGTAAAAAACAATCCTGGAAATGTCTTCATTTTTATATGTGGACTTGAAGATACTTTCAGTTTTTGGGCTAATTTTTATTATTTCATCCAGTTTAGACAGAATATTACATCAACTTTATTCTAGCTCATTATTTGTAGTAGTCAAATTATATTGGTGCAACATTACCTTCATTTGAGGCACACTTTGTTCAAATCTCCACAGTTTACATCAGATATTTGATCCAGTGCGGTGCCAGATGTGCTGATTATGTCCTCTTACACCTCTTCAACCTCTAACATCAGCTTTATTAGTTTATCGGTTATGCAGCAGTTAAAACAAGCAACATGTTTGTTGTGGTGCAACATGTTTTCATTTAGTACTGCATAAATTGCATCCTTGGTTAAGGGTCACAGCTGGTGCAACTTGCCCAAGGAAAGGGAATCCGATGGGACACTGAACCAGAAGAAGCTTTCTGTGAGCCTAAACAAAGAATCAGACTGAAACAAGGCGTTCCAAATTAAACTCCAAATGATTTCAGCCTCCATTCACTGACCTGTTGTTCTTTGTTTAAGAGCAGTCTGCACTACTGAGCTCACACAGGTCAAGCCTCATTGAGTGAGTGCTTAAACAGAATGAACTGGGTTTCTGCATGGAATCTAACAGACAACAAGTCGCCTGAATAGAGTTTCATATCATAATCAAATAATCAGAGCCCCATGATAACCCGATGGCCTGGCACCTTCTGGGGTTTGAGCTCAATTTTAAATCCCAAATCTGGGGTCTAATTCACAAAAAGGGCATTCATATGACTTGCTAATCCCTTTCTTCATTTGTTGCCTTTTAATATCATTGTATTCCACTAAAATCGGTTTCCTTCTCCCCTAGACAGCAGAAGTCACAGTGGAAACATGCTTCTGTTAACTACCCAGAACATTTGATCAATCCCAAAATGATCTTCCGTTGTTACCACTTTGCTACCTGATGTGAGACTTCTCATTCTGGTCGGTTATCTCACACACCTGCTGGTGGTTTCCACCATTTAACAGCCTTTTCATTCATAAAACTTTGATTAACAACAACAAAGTAAAAGTCAATTCAATTAGTCATCCTAATTTGCTTTCCTCTGCACTGTTGATCTGGATTCTGCTGATGCTCATTAACTTTCCACTCAGTTTGTTTGATCAAAGCACTTGAGGAAAAAAAGGACGAGCACGAGTACCTCTCATGGCTGTTAGTTGTATTTCTTAACATTTGGCTCCTGATATTGCCTCGTATTTAATTAGAGCTTGAAGAAGTAGATTTGAAAAAAAATAGATGGCACTGTTTTTTCCTTTTTTTTTCAACTTTAAAATACAGACTGCAGAGGACAATAGATAAAGGAGGCCTCGGTATGTGTCAGCGGTGTTAACGCTCTGTCCATGTGGTTAATGTATGTGGAGCCACAACTGCTGAGTCATTCTCTTCCTGAGCCAGCAGCCAATGAGCTCCGGGGCTCCGTGTGGACTGCTGACCCAGGGCTCTGCTGTACAGTTGGATCTCAGCCCATCACATGGCTAGCTGGTAACGGAGGGTTTGTGCATCACATGGCCGAGCTCCAAAGCCTTTCTGGGTGACACAGAGGCACATAAGCTGGTGACTGGTGTCACATGATAAGAAAGCAGCAACTAATGAATTAGAGGATTAGAACATTGAAACTGTTGGGTGAAAATAGCCCAAGGTGAAGTCTTCATTTGATAGTCCGAACATATTCAAAAAGATATTTCATTTACATGAATGTGGGTAAAAAAAAAAAAGGTGTCTTTTGAGAAGCTGGGGACAGAACATTTTTGGCACTATTTGCTTTAAAAATGACAAACTGTTAATTGACTCTACTCTGTACCAACAGACTGATAGATGGAATGAAACTGAGAAAAAGAAACAAAGATTAAGCTTCTTCCATCTGAATAAAAAAGATTGAAACTGTGGCTGTATATACTGTAATTTCTGGACTATTGAGCGCGCCTGAAAATAAGCCGCACCCACTAACTTTAAAAAGAAAACAAAAAATTGTACATATATCTATAAGCTGCAGGTGTCCACGTTGTAACATGAGATATTTACACAGACAGATTTTTTAAACTTTTAATTAAATATGTACCAGTAACATACACAAATACGTACCGTAAATGCTTTTTTTCCCCAAACAGTGGCTGTAACACGACTGGTTAAGAAAATAAAATACAGTAGCCTACCAGGAAAAGTCATTGATCGATATCTTCATCTTCCTCCTGCACTAAAACCACTAAAGTCGTCTTCTTCAGTGTTGGAATTGAAATGCCTCAGAATGACTTGGTCACATGCTTCCTCGGTCTCTCTTTTGTTGTCGCTCTCAATGTCACTTTTGTGTTGAGGTAAATTAGTAAAAATCACAAAAATCCATAAATTAGCCGCATCATTGTTTAAGCCGCAGTGTTCAAATTGTGTGAAAAAAGTAGCGGCTTATAGTCCGGAAATTATGGTATTTAAAATATTTTGGCAAGTCAAATACTGTATGTCAACAGGGCTCAGCAATACAGCTGAAAAATATATGATGATGAAATGTTTCCATTAATTCGATATTAATAATCACAGATAACATTAACGAACCATTTTAATAAAGATGAGAAAAAAATGTTTATTTTCAATTTAACCACCTTAATAAGAAGAACAAAGGAATGAGCTTATCTTGATTAAATTTTTTTTTTTTTTTTAAAGCAAATAGAACCCAGAGACATACGGAGGGCGACCAGTGTGAAGTCACCACACTATCCTGAAATTAAAGTTTCGTGTTGCTGGCTTGCACTGGGTGTCACTGGACAGGGACCCTGCACTGACCTCCATGTTCACCCAGCGCTAAGAGTGAGAGTGCATCATCTAGCCACCTAATGTGAACCTAAGACTGTGGGGGCACAGGGACATCAGAGTTTTTACACTCAGGGTCTGTCTCAAAAAGGCAACTGCTGGCCCAAACCAGACTAGCCCGCTGTGGGACACCTGTATGGAAATTACAGGGTGACAATGGAAAAGAAAGGAGCTCCATCATCAAGAGGTTGTTTATGAGCTGAGGAAGGAGCACAGGTGGGGTTTCCATCCATCCATTATCTATACACCGCTTAATCCTCACTAGGGTCGCGGGGGGGCTGGAGCCAGCGACTTAGGGCGGAGGCAGGGGACACCCTGGACAGGTCACCAGTCTATCACAGGGCTACAGGTGGGGTTTGTAGATTGTTCAATGCTTTCATTGCAGATTGTATCTAATGCGTTAAAGGGAGCCTATTAAACATTTTAACTGAATTGTTTTCTGATTGCTTTTGATCAAGTGTGTGTCGCTGGAACATATTGTTTTCTGGTCCAGGCCTAGTTGGGATAAAACCAACTCATGGTGAAAGATTATGTAGGTTATGGTGATATGCAAGCTCAGTGTTTCATCTTCTTTTAAAACGGCTGAGCTTAAATAATAATAACAATAATAACATAATAATAAATGGCTAAAAATTAAACCTAAACATGAAATGTGTGACATTTTATGACTGAGCTTTTCAATGTGAAGACATGTTGTTTATGTAACAGCCTCATTTTTTTTCATGTGTGACAGATATTGTAATGCATTACTAATCTTAAATGAATGAACAGATTCATTTTTTAAATACAGCTTTTCATTTAATATATCTTTTTCATTCATCTCCTTTAGAGAACCTGAGTTTGTAAATATTTACGTGCTCTGCTCAGAGTATCCTCCAACAGGTGAGCGAGTCAGGGCTGAGTCAATCGCTCAACAACACAGAGAGCACAGCAGGGCTCCTAATGGACAAACAGGTCGTTTTGGGAATCCAACCAAAGACTTTTTATTTGTGAAACAGACTCTCTAACCACTGAGCACCACTGCTGGCACAGAGCTCATCAGCCATTCTCTCTTTTTCTGTCTTGTTTTGTTTCTTGGATCCATTTTATCGACACATTTTCTCCGACACTGTTGTGAGCCGGCTGAGACTCTCCTGGGCCTCTGATCAGTCTGTCAATTCCCTGGTCAAAGCCTTTAACTCTGACGTGACGCCCGAGCAGAGCGGGCCATCAGGTCATTATGATGAGAACAGTAAACAGACACACACACACACACACAAAATAAAAAAACTGTGTGCCTCACCTCCAGTGCCAGACTGGGCTGCTTTAGCTCCAGCCAATGTCAGGAGTCCACCTGGTTTTAGGTGCAGAGCGGCGAGGTGGCTGGAGATGGTGGAGGTCCACACGCTCTGCTTCCACATCAAATCAGTGTTTTTGTATAAGTCTGAAGGAGATTATAAAAGGACAGAATCTTAACATTTATTGCCTAAACATGATTTTTTCACAGATACAACACTGGCCTGGGAAATGTGCACAAGAAAGACTAGGAAAAAAAAGCAAAATCTATCAAGCAGTACATAAATTAGCATAATTAAAAGCATGGTGGGGAAAAAAAAAAAGTGATTGTGTCCTGGAGTGTATCTTGGCTCAGACCAGAAACTTCCCGGAGCCTCAGCTGGCTTGCAGACAATTGTTTAGTGCCAAGGACACATTGCTTGCCTGTAAAATGGTGAATTGTTGTTTTTACATTTTGTACAGCTCCAATACAGAAAACAGAAAACGGTAATGTGAGCCAGGCTAGTTGTATTCCCCTGTTTATGCCACGCGAAGCAGCTGTTCTGGGAAGCTTCATTTTTGCCATGCAGATCTGAGAGTGGCACCAGTCTTCTCATCCAGCTCCCCTAACATGTATTTTTTCCCCCCCTAAAACGGTTAAACCATTCCTTTAAATGGCCCATGAAAGGACAGGAATCAAGCCGCACACAGCTGACTGTCCACTTTCCTTTCGCTGCCAGGCACAATTACCTGTGAGGTGTGAGATAAATGCAGTAAACTAACAGGCAGAGTAAAGAAACAGATTTTAAGACCACTGAGCTTGTAGGGTTTCAACAGAAACCTTTCATTTTAAAACACAGCTTTGACGTTTAGAAACAAAAACAGCAGAAAAATACTCCGATCAGATTCATTTGTCGTCAGATTTAAGCTGCAGAGAAACTGGCTGATGATTAATGTCAGAACAAATAAAAGGGTTGAACTCTGACCTTTGGAACTACAGTTTCCTCCGGCCCATCCGCCGGCCACGCACAAGATGGCGTCCACTTTCTGTTCCCCTAGCAACTGGGCCACATCTGCCGTCACCTGCACAAAAGGCGACAGATAACTGTTAACGCCTTTTCATGAAGCAGCGCCGCAGCTTTTCAGCTCGCATGCCGGGCAGGAAATTGTTGGTTCAGGTCAACAAACAATAGGACAGACCTTTCACATGAGCCACTGTAAAAAAAATAAAAAAAATACTGTGCTTCACTGTTCAAAACATGCACACTGTTTTATTTTATTTTTTCTAATTTGCAAAAATAGAAAAATGGGATGACAAAAACAACACAAGGAATGCTACAGATTTTAATCACAGTCATATAAAATGGCTAAATGAAGACATGCGGGACATTAAAGAACATCGAAATAATCTGTTGGACTTTTTTTGTGCATCAAGCCAGTTATATTTATACAATCCATGATGTTAAACTTATCTTTATAGTTCATACTGCAGCAAGTAATGGTCATTTTCACTATTAATTATTATTACTTGATAATTTGATGACGTTATTCAATGTTTCCCAAAGCCCCAGATGAAGTCCTCGAACATCTCGTTTTGTCCACAACCCAAAATTATTCACTTTATGTTATAGAAGAGGAACAGATTCAGAACATTGTCAAAGTTAGGAAGCTGAAATCACATATTTGAGATTTTTTATTTATTTATTTATTTTTTAATCAAAACAACACTCAATTTGAACAACCACTTTTCAAAGTAGGTATTGATTATATAATAGTTGAGAACTGATCAATTAATCATTAAGGCTTCAGCTTGTACAGCATAAACATAGTCCTCAGACTCTGAATCACAGCAGCTGTCAAATCAAAAAAGAAAAAAAACAAACTATTGCTGTATAGAGCTTTTTTGTTGTTGTCACTTAATTAGATGATTATTATTATTTAATTATTCGATTAGTTGGTAGTTCTATAAAATGAAAAACGGTGATTAGCATTTCCAAAAGCTTAATAACGACAAATGTCTACTTTTGTCCACAACTCAAAGATAATCAGATTACTCTCTTAGATGGAATCACATAATTTGGACATTTTTATTGTTCTCCTAAAAATAACTCGAACTAAAAAATGATGCATTCATGTAACGGTTGACAACTAACGGATCAATCGTTGCAGACACTCAGCTGTCCTTTGACCGTCTGAACGACTGGAGCTAACGAAGCTAACAATCTACTTTATAAATGGAAAACAAGATTGAAAACGTTTGTTATTAGAACGGGTAGACAGCCCGCATGTCGCACATATATATATATACATAAAAAAGACTGTTACATTAAAGCTGTCACATATCAGCGCTCCTGTAAATCCTGAACTTTCCTCTACTTTCAAGTGTGCCTGAACGCAGCATTAGCAAAACGCTTTCTAGCAAATCACTACAAAACAAGACAAAACTAAAGAAAAAACACAAACTAAATAACATTGTTTACATGCTACTGCACTCATATTACAGCTTTAACTCTAGCTGCTGCCGGTAACAGCCTCCCCGCTGTCTGTTAGCTCCTAAGTTTTGATATAATCGAGGCAGAACCGTGTGCCTCCTGTCTGCTCACCTGTCCTGCCTGCTCGGTGAACGATTCACTCAACTTCACAATCACGTTTTCATTCGCCTCGTCGTTTGCAGCCATGTCGATGCAGGCCACCCACTGTTGGACGGTCAACACACAGAGAAAACACGGTTAGCTCACGGCTTAGCAGCGCGTTAGCATGTAGCGTTAGCCGCCATCGCTCACCCATCCTTTGGACTTGAAGTGCTGGACGCACTTGGAGCCCAGAGCGCCTCTTCCTCCGTAAACGATGACCCGTTGGGAAGCCATGTCGGTGCTCTGGCTGTCAGTCGGCAGTGAGACGCGGAGCTGCGGAGCTTCAGCTCAAATACCCGGACACACGGTCAGCAGGAGGAGGAGGAGGAGGAGGCTGGAGGAGGCGCTGCTGGAGCAACAAGTGGGAACTAATGCTGCGTTCAAACACTGTCCGAAACGCCAGCTTCACAGGTGAAACGTGGTCCCTTGGTGTCGTGCCAAAGAGATTATCTACACGTGTTATCAGGCCTGACATTTGGGATGAGTATGGGCACTACTGTAGTATTTCTCTTTCTACTATTTAGGCTATGGTATGTCTAATACCCGTGTTACAGTTCCCCCTGACCGATAGAGTAACCTGTGAAACGTGGTCCCTGGTGTTCTGCCAAACAGATCATCTTTATAGTGTTCTTGGGCCTGGAATTTGTGATGATTATAGGCAATACTATGGTATTTTTCTTTCCAATATTTAGGCTATGGTATGCCTAATAACCTTGTTATGATGTCCCATGTGTGCGTCCGTTCGTCTGTGTGTTTGTGAACAGTGTCTAGCTCCAGTGCTAAGGCCTAACAAGTTGATGTTTTACAGGTAGGCTAGGAATGACCTCACTGATTAGGGTAAATCAGTGCAAAAATAGCTCTGCTGGAGGTCAAAGGTCATCTTTTCAAAAATGCCATGTAATAGCATTATATGACTATTAGACTGTAATTAACACAGTGCACAGATGGCCTTTATATATAGAACAAAAATATTAACTCTGTTGCAACTATTCCAACATGTTGTTCAATATGCTCTAGTGTTGAAATATGATCCTCCAAAATGAAATCAGTCATTTCAATCACGATGTAGCGACTGCACTCACTATTTGGCGAGTGTAAAACTGCATTACCGTAATTTTTTGGACTATTGAGCACACCTGAATATAACCGCACCCACTAACTTTAAAAAGAAGAAAAAAATTGTACATATA